ACCAACCAGCAGGCAAGAGTCCCCCCTCAGTATACACCACTCTCCAAGGTTCTGTGATTACACACAAGCACTGTGCTATAACAATGATTCCAACAAAAACCACAATTAATTTCACTCATGGGATTGGCTTACATATTTTCAAAAAAGGAGTATTTGAAAATTCAAATACTAGTCACTTTATAATTTTTCCTAGTAGATTCACCTACTAAAACTGCTAAATTATTATAATTGTGTAGTTCATTCCATATTGCCCCAAATTATTAGACTCAGCTCCCTCATTTCAGGCAAACAAACCTTCCTTCATCCAATTAGCATATACCTAATTATACAGCTACTATAGCTCATTACCATAGAGTCGGATTCGACTCATAGTGATCCCTCCTTGGGTTTCCGAGGCCATATCGCTATGAAAGTAGATGGCGCAACCTTCATTCCGAGGAAGTTAAGCAGTCTTATTAGGTTAGCAGTCAAATGCCTTAGGCACTACACCACCAGGGGTCAGGCATCCAAAATTGATATTACTTAGTAACAAAAAAATAAGGGTTAACATTTATGTAACATTTATTAAGTGCCAAGAATAAGAAGGTAGCAACATCCCCACTAAGAACTATTATTACCATTTGATATATAATGAAGTTAAGGCCCAGAGAAACAATTAACTAAAGTTAAGGTCACAAAGCTAATATATGGGGAGAGCTGAAAAGACATCCCAGAAAATGTGGCTCCAGAAATAAAAGAGGCAATATTGATGAGGACAAGCATATGCAAAGACAAGCTAACTCACTACAGGTTACAACAAATTAAGTATTCCCATTGTTGTATGTATTAGGTAACGGAATCCACAGAAAGCACAAAATTACAAGCTTTTGATCAGTATGGGAACAAAAAGTAAAAAGGAAGAACATGACTACCTTTAATTTATGATGAAAGCTGGGTAGAAAAAGCAAAATTGTAAAAAGCTGTTTAGTAACAAACTAAGGATGGACAGTTGAAGGAATCTGTGAATTAAAGAATTGAGTATTCTTAAAGTTAGCAATAAAACAATCACATTAAAAGGAAACGAATAGATTTTTCTGAAAGAATCAAAGCAATACAAAGATATGAAAAGAAGCATGCACATCATTCCAGGTTACACTTGTTAAAGGATCCAAAGTAGTAGCTGTGGTTTCATCTGATATGATAGTAAAGGAAGCTAATGAGAATTTAAGAGGGTGATAGCATATGGGACTCAAAAATGGCAGAAAAGAAAATGACCTTGGCTGCAAGCAAATAAGATTATCATAAAGTCAAAATATTCACATCTATTGATGAAGTAAGACCAAAAGTGAATAGGAATTCAACAAGAATATGGACAACAGTCTGTACTGTCACAAAGAAGTCTACAATATGAAGTAAAACAAAAGCCTAGGAAAGACCAAAAGTAGGAAGGCATGATTTAACTGAGCAGAAAACAATCAAGACATAAATTCTATGAGACATAAATTGTTACTTGTTTGCACTCACAGTTGTGAATTTAATAGATGACGAAGATGGCTGCTTTGCTGATCAGATCCTTCTTCAAAGTTTTACATAGAAAGACTAGAGCTAGCGAATGGGAGAGCTACTATCACTCAGAATAGAAAGTCTCAGAGTAAAATGGCAGTAAAGAGTGAAGTCCACCCAAAATTAAATACATAAAAAAGCAAAAATACCATCATTGGCTAGAGTTAATTTTGAGATTCTTAAGTCAGAGACCCGCAGTCTCAGTACTTTAAATTCCCCTTATCGACTTCAAAATAAAAACAGAAATGGGAATGCACATCTATGAAGAGATATGTTGCGAACATTTGCTCTTAAATGGCAATTCTTTTGCGAAAAATGATCTGTGTATAATCCTTGTGAGATGATTCAAAAGCTACAACTAACAATGACAGCCTCCAGGATTCTTAACAGTTGGGTTCATCACAGATCTTTAAAAGAACTAATATTATTTCTAAGACTTCAATTTAGAAATCACACATCACAAAATGTGATATTACGTCCTTAATTCTTTACTGGCCTTTTTTTTTCTTCTTTCATATGGCCTAGCCCATTCCTCTTCCCCCTATAGATAGAAACTGCTCCATGGCTAAGTAGAATGTAAAAGCTACCCTACCAGAAGTGAAAAATGATAAATTAACATCCTTGAGTTACAGACAGCAGCAATAATCATGCAAAGGGTGGAGTTTAATCACATCAAAGCATTGAATGACAATATGGGTCAGTCTGAAGCTATGAATCCCCAGGGTAAGAATGTTGTATTAATATTACAGCTAGATGTTTGTCCTAAAACAATGTTCTGACCAGGGCTGGTGCACTATACACTTTTATGGAAACCATAAACACTGCAGTCTGTTGTGGTCAGTGTCCCTTGAAGTTGCAGATGCCTACCCTAAACCAGCAAACCATTTGACTACAAAAGCATATGACTGTGTGGATCATAACAAACTATGGATAACACAAAGAAGAATGTGAACTCCAGAACACTTAATTGTGCTCACGAGGAACCTGTACATACACCAGGAGGCTATCACTCCAACAGAACAAGGTGATGATGCATGGTTTAAAAATCAGGAAGGGTGTGTGTCAGGGCTGTATCTGTCACCACACATACTCAATCTGTATGCTAAGCAAATAATTTGAGAAGCTGGATTGTATGAAAAAGAACACAGTATCAGGAATGGAGGAAGACTCATTAACAACCTGAGATATGCAGACGACACAGTCTTGCTTGCTAAAAGTGAAATGACTTGAAGTACTTACTGGTGAAGATTAAAGACTACAGTTTGCAGTACGGATTACACCTCAACATGAAGAAAACAAAAATCCTCACAACTGGATCAATAAGCAGTATCACAATAAATGAAGAGAAGACTGAAGTTGTCAAAGATTTCATTTTACTTGGATCCACCATCAACACCAACAGAAGAAGCAGTCAAGAAATCAGACAACGTACTGCACTGGGCAAATCAGCTGCAAAAAACCTCTTTCAAGTGCTGAAGAGCAAAGATATCTCCTTGAAGTCAAAGGTGTATTTAACCCAAGCCATGGTGTTTTCAATAGTCTCATATACATGTGAAAGCGGGACAATGGATAAGGAAGACCAGAAGAGTTGATGCTTTTGAGTTGTGTGGGTGAATAATACTGAAAGTACCACAGACCACCAGAAGAACAAACAAATATGTCCTGGAAAGAAGTATAGCTGAAAGACTCCTTGGAAGCAAGGATAGCCAGACTTCACCTCACCTATTTTGGTCATGTTATCAGAAGGGACCATGCCCTGGAAAAGGGGTAAAGCAGAGGGTGAAAAAGAGGAAGGCCCTCAATGAGACAGACTCACACAAAGATGGGCTCAAGTGTAGCAAGGATTGTGAGGCTGGAGCACACCTGGGAAGGGTTTTGATCTGTTGTACATACAGTTGCTGTGAGTTAGAGCTGACTCAATGGCACCCAACAACACCATGATGACATCCTAACCCAGCAATATTGGCTCTACAAGTTTTGATCAAAACCCTGTTGGTTTACGTGATAAACATAAACATGCACACCTTCTTTTTCACAAAGTCCTTACTTTAAAATGATCTAAAACATCAAGAATATTCAGTCTAAACAAATATTTGTTTTACTGGGATAAAATATAATTGTGATACTTATCATATGATCTTGTCATCAATTATTTATATATTTACTGAGTAGAATGAGCTCCTGACAACAGTGTCAAATAATTTATTACAGCTAAGGCAACAACTGCTGAAGCTCCTGAAATATTACCACCATCACCAAGAAGCCGAGTCCTCACGCCATTTCTGAAGAAAAGTAATATCCTGAACACACTAAAGGTGAGTAATCTTTGGCATTTACAAAGTGACTCTGGGGTAAACTCGGGAAGAGATGAAAAGAATTACTACCAATACTTAAAAGTCACACTCATACTCATTCCCTAAATGTTAAAATGAGATTTAGCTATGTCAGAGGATAAAGTTATCTGTTCAATTTGTTTTTCTAGGTCAGCATTTCTCAAAATTTCCTATGAGATATTAAAAACCTCTGTGTCAGTAAGTTGGAAATGCCACAACTACCCAACTTGGAACATCACCAAGCACATTTTACTATGACAGCTCTGAGAAAAATTAAAGTAAAAAAATTGGTTTTGTTTAACCCAATGTTTCCCACATTTATTTGGCCATAGAATCTGTAACCTGTTACGGATACTGGTGATATGAGAAACAGAGTCTGGGAAATGTCACTAAAAGATCACCATGTATTAATTTTTGTAAAGCTTTAAAATGTAACAACATCCAAAACTAAAGTAAGGTTTCTTTGATGATTACAGAGTACTAAACAAAACAGATGTACTTCAGGGTCAACAAATGTTGGTTGAAAGTTTTACTTGGTAAAATGACAAGCAAAATAACATTTACCATATATGCAGTGATACTAGAAATAAAAAACATAAAGCCTGTTTTATAGTGATGTCATTTAGCACAAAATTCTCATAAAATGAGTAAAAACAAATCAGTATTTGGGGCTGACAGTATTTTAAGTGCTTAATGAGACCACATCACAACTGTACTTATTTTTTGCACTCATTATAAATCCTATTTATCAGAAAACATCTGAAAGGCTATGACTTCAGGAGCTCACAACCTTAGCAATCTCTCTTGTCATATTACTGACCACATTATAATTATCTACTGATACAAAAAAAAAAAATGGCACCTACTGAAGATTATTACAATACTTACCACATTACAAAAAGAATCCAGACCAATGCTATGTACATACTTTAGTACATTCTGGATTAGACCAAGTAAAATTTAACAACAAGCTGAACAGCATTCTATAAAACAAAAACAAAAAGTCAGTTAGGCTACTTCTGTGTGTTTTTCTATGCTGTGGACTCATAGTGAGAAAGAAGATACTCTTGGAACTTGATGACTGATCAAATCTGAACTCTTATTCTAAAATTTATCTATACTTACCTTAGAAGAAGTTCTTTGGGTAACTTTTTGTTTATAAGGCCTTCATCATTGTTTGAGAAAACCTGGAAGAAAAAAAAAAGAAAAACTGTTCAAATGTTCTGCAGGCAATAAAAACCAAAGACATTGTTATATGCTTTTTATACCAAATAGAATAGCTCAATGACTCTCCACAGACATAATTATACAAATGTCATGAAGCCATTATACTTCAATACTGATAGATGTAAGAATATTTTTTATATCCTATCACCATTTCATAAGGAGCTCTGATGGTGTAGCAGGTAAAGCATTTGGATGCTAAGTTCAAACCCACCAGCTGTTCCATGGGAGAATGATAAGCAATCTACTTCCATAAAGATATTAGCCTTGGAAAACCAACAGAGGTTACTATGAGTTAACATCAACTCAATAGCAGTGGGTTTGGTTTTTTTCTTTTTTTAAATTTTTGCAGTGTTTCCTCCCCTTCCCTCCCCTCCCCTCCCTGGTACCAACAAAGAAAGTTTCCTTCCATATATAAACCTTTCCTTGACTTTTTACAATAATGAACTAATACTGTATCTGTTCTTCTGTGACTGACTTATTTCACTCAGCATAATGTCTTCCAAGTTCATCTATGTTACATGGTGTTCTGCTGATTCAATATTCTTTAGTGTTACACAGTATTCAATTGTATGTATGTACCATACTTTAGTTATCCATTCTTCTGTTGAGGGGCACCTAGGTTGTTTCCATCTTTTTGCTACTGTAAATAGTGCTGCAATGAACATGGGTGTGCATATATCTATTCTTGTCCTGGCTCTCACTTCTTTAGGATATATACCTAGTATGGGGTTGCTGGATCAAATGGTATTTCTAATTCCTACTTTTTAAGGAATTGCCATACTGCTTTCTACAGTGGTGGTTTCATTTTACAGTCCCACTAGCAGTGTACATAAGTCCCAATCTCTCTACATCCTCACCAGCATTTGTTATTTTCTGTCTTGTTGAACTCTGCTATTAGTGCCGGGGCCAGATGGTATCTCATTGTTGCTTTGGTTTGCATCTCTCTAATGGCTAATGATCGTGAGCATTTCTTCATATGTTTGTTGGCCATCTGAATATCCTCTTTGGTGAAGTGTCTATTCATGTCTTCTGGCCATTTTTAAATTGGATTGTTTGTCTTTTTGTTGTTAAGATGTTGGGAGCTTTCTATAAATTTTAGAGATAAGTCCCTTGTCAGATGTGTCATTGCCAAATATTTTTTCCCAATCTGTAGGTTCTCTTTTGACTCTTTGAAAGCACATCTTTGGAAGCACATAAAAATTTAATTTTTAGAAGGTCTTATTCATCTAGTTTCTCTTCTGCTGTTTGTGCTTTTTGAGTTATGTTTGATAGTCTATTTATGCCATACATTAGGGCCCCTAAATTTACCCCTAGTTTTTTCTTGAGGAACTCTATAGTTTTCGGTTTCACACTGAAGTCTTTGATCCATCTGGAGTTAGTTTTTGTGTATGGTATGAGGTACAGATCTTGTTTCATTTTTCTGCAAATGGACATCCAGTTTTGCTAGCACCATTTGTTAAAGAGACCACCTCTTCCCCATGTAAGAGTGTTTTTTTTTTTTTTTTTTTTGTATCATCATTTCATAAAATGGGCAACACACAGTCATTTCTATGGTATGTTATACTGGAGATTCTAAGCCAAGGCAATCAGACAAGAAAAGGAAATAAAAGGCATTCATATTGGAAATAATGAAATAAAGAAACCTCTATTCTCAGATGACATGATGTTGTATATAGAAAATACTAAGGAATCCAGAAAAAAACTGCATGTTGTAGGACACACATCAATATACAAAAAATAAATTCTAATTCTTTACACTAATAATGAACCATCAAAAATGAAATTAAGAAAATCATTCCATTTATAATAGCATGAAAAAGAACAAAATAGTTACGAATAAATTTAACAAAGGAAGTATAAGAAAATAAAAATTATAAAACAACATTAAAAAGATTAAAGGCAACTGAAACACACTGAAAGAAATCCCATGTTCCTAGATTGGAAGACTCAATGGTCTAAGATAAGAATACTCCTCAAGGAGCCCTGGTGGTGCAAACAGTTAAGTGCCCTGTTGCAAACTGAAAGACTGGCAGTTCTAACTTGCTCAGCTGCTCTGTGAGAGAAAGACCTGACTACCTGCTCCCATAAAGATTACAGCCAACAAAATCCTATGGAGCTGTTCTACTCTGTCTCATGGGGTCACTGTGAGTTGAAAACTACTGTAAGGCACTTAATAGCAGCAACAGTCTTCAAACTGATCTACATATTTAATGCAATCCTATCAAAATATCAGCTTTTATACAAAATTTGACAAGCTGATCCTAAATTCATATAGAAGTGCAAGGGATTTCCAGAATAGCCAAACTAATCTTGAAAAAGGAAAGCAAAGTGGGAGGACTCAAACTTCCCAATTTCAAAACATACTACAAAGCTACAGTAATCAAAATAGTTTGATACTAGAATGAGGACAGACATGTAGATCACTGGAACAGTACTGAGGTTCCATAAATAAACTTGTATACTTATGGGCAGTTGATTTGCAACAAAGTTTCTTAACATAGCACTAAAATAAGAAGCAACCAAGGAAAAATAAAGTTAAAGTGGACTTCATCAAAATTAAAAACTTTTGTGTTTCCAAAGAGACTATCAAAGAGTGGAAATATAACCCATAAATGGGAGAAAATACTTGGAAGTCATTTATCTAATAAGGGATTTCATCTAGAATATATAAAGAACTCTCCCAACTGTGTATTATAGACAGAAATAACCTGTTGAAAATGGACAAAGAATTTGAATAGTCATTTTTCCAAAGAAGATATACAAATGGCCAATAATCACATAAAAAGTGCTAAACATGGTTAATCGTTGTTGTTGTTGTTGTTAAGTGCCGTCGAGTCGTTTCCGACTCATAGTGACCCCATGCACAGCAGAACAAAACTCTGCCCGATCTTGCGCCAGCCCCACAATCCCTGCTGTTAATCATTAGGGAAATGAAAATCAAAACCACAGTGAAATATCACTTCATACTCGTTGTTGTGTGCTGTCAGTCAATTCCTATTCACAGCAACCCTACAGGACAGAGTAGAACTGCTCCCATAGGGTTTCCTAGGCTGTAAATCTTTACAGGAACAGACCTGCCAGGTCTTTTCTTCTGCAAAATGGCTGGTGGGTTTGAACTACTGATCTTTCAGTTAGCAGCCAAGAGATTAACCACTGTGGCACCAGGGCTCCTTTCTTACTCACTAGGATGGTGCAAAAACGGCAAGGAGGCCACATGTTCTGACCTCCTCTAATCCCACAAGAGGAAGACAGGATTACCAGCAGTAACCCAAG